GCCCCGCCCCTTACGAGCGAGCGGGGAGGGGCTAGAGAAGAAGCTAGACCAATGGCTGCGCTTGCGCTCACTCCGTGATGTATCGGCGCGGGGCCTCTGCGCGTGCGCGAGGCAGAACCCGCCTGACGTCGGGCCGGGAGCTCACGTAACTGCACGTGACCCTGCAAACCTGGACGCTCCCTAATTTGGTCTCAGTCGTCACGCTAGTGGTGTCTGTAGGAGGTGCCTAGTGGTAATTTGCCTTCCTCAGCTGCAGACCGAAACCTGTGAGGAAGTGTCAGCGCCACTGAAGGGAAACCTAGAATTGACTAAAAAGTCAGAAACTGAGTGAGCTTCAGTGACCTGATGTTAAAATTAATTAAAAAATAATCCGGTTTTAGAATTCACTCACTATTATTTCAGTACTAGAACAAGGCATCAGTCTATTCACCAGACAAATATTTCTTGAGTACTTACATGTACGAAGGAGCCCTTGGGGCGTAGTGGTACACATTGGGCTGCGATCTGAAGGTGCACAGTTCGAAACCACCACCAATACCGCAGGAGACACACAGGGCTTTCTACTCCTGGAAAGAGTTGCAGTCTCAGAAACTCACAGGGCCAGTTCTACTGTGTCCTCCCGTCCTATGGGGTCTCTGTGCATCTGCGTAGACTCCATGGCAGTAAATTCAGAGTCCTGCCATCGTGAGTAATGCATTGGGCTGCGCCATGAGTCCAAATCGACTGCGTGGCAGGGCCAGCCGTGGAAATTCGCAGGGGCAGTTGATCGGTCCTATGGTCGGTCGCTGTGAGTCAGAATTGACTACTGGAAATGAGGAAGTGACTGAAAGATTTACCTGCTCAGTGTGTTTTGTTTATTGTTGTTTAAGGAACCTGGTGGCTTTAGGCGTTGGAGTACTAATCCCAAGGTCCATCCAGCCACTCAGTAGGAGAAAAATGACGCTATCCTGTTTCCCCCAAATAAGAGTGTCTTATGTTAATTTTTGCTCCCAAAGATGCGCTAGATCTTATTTTCAGGGGATGTCTTATTTTTCCATGAAGAAGAATACGGTACACATTTATTGTTTATTGTTTTATTAAAAGAGACCTCGCACTTTCTGTCTGCTCCGGCTGCGCTGTGGCCAACAGTGAGCAGTGCAGCGGCCAACAGTGAGTTGTGCAGCAGCGCCCATGTATAGGTCCAGAGTCCAGAGTTACCATAACTTCGGGGCCTTATTTTCAGGGAGGTCTTATTTGGGGGGGGATGCCTTATATTTTCAGCGAGAGACAAAACTGTAAGTAAGTCTTATTTTCGGGGGATGTCTTACTTTCGAGAAAACGGTATCTACTCCAGTCAAGAGTTAGAGCCTTGGAAACAGTATGGAATCACAGTTGACTGGAAGTAGTGGGTTTGTCTTGAGGATTTTTCCTCTCTGGAAAAGAGGCCTAGTGGCTCTGTAGGTTAGACACTGGGTGGCACTGCAAGGTTGGTGGTTCAAATCCACCAGCCCCTCTCCTCAAGGGGGGAAAAGATGAGGCTGTGTGCTCCTGCAAAGATTTAACATCTCAGTACCGCAAAAGAGCAATTCAACAGTGTCCATAATGAATCTGAATTCAGATGTCAGCAGTGTTTGGATGTGATTATTCCATCCTGGAAGGTGTTCCAGCAGCATAATGATTAAGCATTGCCTTGGCGGGTCACATCCACCAGCCTTTCCACAGGGACAAAGACGTGTCCATCAACGCCTGTAAATATCGCAGCCTTGGAAAGCTTATGGGGGCCCTTCACTGCTCCTATGGGCCACTGTGATTTGGAATGAACTCCGTGGTCAAGTGCTTTTCTTGGTATTCCTACCTGGAATGCGGTGGCATCCTGGCCACTTAAGCTAACGTGCTGGCTCCAGGCGATGAAGCAGGTGCAGGTCATAGAGAAGCTTGCCCTTGGGCAGGGAGGCACAGGGCTCCCAACACATTCAAATCACCTGGGCACCTTCAAAACCTGCAGCCCTGCCAGGACTCCATCCCCAGGTGAAATCCCTGGAGATAGGGCTTAGAAGCGACACTTGCTGGAAGATCCCTCAAGTGATGCTAATGTTACAAGCATTGACCGAGAGTGACTCCAATTCACCCTTAAAAGCAACAGGCTTTGATTAAAAACTTGCAAGAGTCATGAAGATTATCTCATCCATTTCATATAATGACAGGCCTGTTAGAATATTTCTTTATTCTGTGTCAGTAGCGATGTCAGATGAGGTTGTCTACTTCTGTAAAGAGTGATAGTATTGGAAACCCAGAGGGGCATTTCTACCTTGTCCTATCAGGTTGGTATGAGTTGGAATCGACTAGATGGCAGAGAATTTGGGGTCTTGTGTTTTGTGGATTTTTTGTTGTTGTTTTCTGAATGGGAGAGGTGCCCCTCCAAATTTTGTCAAAGTTGTATTCTTTTCCCCTTGTGCCCAAGTCCCTCTCACCTTTCTAGAGAAGTCTCTCCAGGATACCATTGTTCTTAACTCCAGAGAAAATAATTACAGCTGTAAGGAGAAAAAAAAAATCAAAGTCATAAGGATTGGGAGGAAAGTGAGGCAAAGCCATTTCCACTTGCAGATGCTGTGGTTTGATAACCTACCTGGAGAAGCCAGGTGAATGAAGTTCAAACTCATACTAACAACATCAGAACTCAATGTCAGTCACACACAAAAATAACTTGTGAAAAATAGCCATCATCTAAATTTACAAAAAAAAAAAATGAGAACAGGTAGTAGAACCCAGTGACAATAACCAAAGAAAAGAAACACTATATAGGAATAAATTTAAGAAGCTCACAAAAGTCTACATGAGGAATGGCAGAGACCATTCTTGAAGATGCAGAAGGGAACTTGAACAAACGGAAAGACAGCTGCACTTCGCACAGGATGACCCAACATCATAGAGATGCCCATTTTCCCCAAAATAATATGAAAGCATTAACAGCTTAATAATTTTAAATCCAGCAAATTATTTTCTAAGATTAGTCAA